TCACCTGTCTAGTGTCAGAACTCTTGTTGATATTGAAGCAGGTGTGTAGCAGAATGGCTCTCTTGGGCGGGGATCCGGCCTTGAACTTCTTCTCGGTGTCGTAGTACTCGAGTCTGGCAGGGCCGCTGGAACTGGTGGAGCGCAGCACGAAGAACTTCCGCTTGCCCGTCTGGGGGGACAGTCAGACACAACAGTGGAGGTTTTGGTAGAGGTTTTATGCCGTTCGCAACACAATAAGGTTATATGAGCACCAAGGGGTGGAGGTTTTAGTAAGGTTTTACGGCGCTCGCAACACAATAAGGTCATATGAGCGCCAAGGGGTGGAGGTTTTAGTAAGGTTTTACGGCGCTCCCAACTGAATCAGGTCATATGAGCGCCAAAGGGTGGATATCAACAGAGAAGTCCATACAGGGAATCAGACTTACTCTGCTCACCTCTCTAGCTTCAACAGCACAAAGTCTGCTTCGACTATCAAGGCACCCTGGAAATAGCAGTTCACAAGAGAGTGACAAGCATACAAAAGAAGTAGAGGAATACGACGATAGTAAGGATGAGGAAAGAAAAACAGTTGGAGGAGACAGTGAGACACACAAAAGTGTCAGGTGGACAGTTGGTTGAAGTAAGCACAGTGTTTTACGGCACTTGCAACACAATAAGGTCATACAATGATATAAGTGCCGAAGATTAGAGGTGTTACATGAGAGTAAGGTACACAAAAAAGACGATAGATGTTTGATAGGAAAGATGTGTGCAACGTTCACATGGGACTTCCAACACTTTTTCACACTTGTCCGAGAAGGCTCGGTGTGGATCTGTCCGATCAGAAGATCAGGGGTGTGGCTGAAACACAGGATAGGACGTGACAGAACAACTTTTTAGAGAAGGAATTTTCCATCGCCATCAGGTTTCGAACCCGGGACCTATTGAAAAAGAGGCGGGCGACGGCGAATTATCTCACCGCAATTAACATATGATGGGTCTATTTTTGTACCTAACAACTGATGGGTCTATTCCTACAATGTTATGGGACTATTCCTACACTGTTATGGGTCTATTCCTACAAAGTTATGGGTCTATTCCTCTATTCCTACAATGTTATGGGTCTATTTCAACACTGTTATTTACCACAAAAGGAGAAAAGCCTCTGTGGGAAGCCATAAATAGACCTCATCAATTCGGCGCGGGAGAGGGGGGGGGGAGAGACAGAGAGATAGAGAGAGAGACTGAGAGAGAGACAGACAGACAGAGAGAGAGAGAGAGAGAGA